AAGACTTCCGACGGTTGACATTTTCAAAGACGGAAAAACGATAAACAAAAAAAGGAAGGAGTATAAACACCATAGGAAAACGATCGCGATTTATTTTCGCTCTTTTTCTTTTTCTTTTTAGGTGAGGACCCAACAGAAAAAGACCCGTTTTGTATTTGGCAATGAGCCAAATTCGCACGTGCTTGGCAGGCTTTAATCGAACTTCTCCTCGCTTTATTTCTACTTTTTTTTTCCTTCATGCTGATGACCCAGTTTGAAAAGTTTGTGCGTGTGACTTTTCAGGGTTGTTTTTGTTTTTTTTATGCTGGTGTTTTGCCAAAAAGAACCTCGTCGAGGCTTCATTAGTTTTGCTCACGTTTCCTTTCTGCTCGTTTTCGAATTTTCCGTGATTTTTCGTTACACTTTCAATCCGCAGAATAAAAAAGTTACACGAAACAATAAATACTCATCGTAAATGTATTTTGATACAAAAATCGCAAGAAAATGACTGAACGCATATGTTTTCACTTTTTTTTTGAAAGTTTTATTCGTGATTCGATCGAAACATGCAAGCGATCACGAGACACAAGGTTTTTCTTTTTCTTTTTTTTTTTTAATCAGGTTTTGNGAAACTTTAGAGTAAGTCAAGAAATGCTGTGAGTTATTATGTGACCAATTGAATTCATGCTCACGTCACTGTTGTATTTTCGTGGTTGAGACTGTTGGAAACGTTGTAGACTTTGATGTTGGTGGCAGATCCTTTGACAGGGAGGTCAGTCCTGTCCATGTCAAAGCGCTCAATGACCATGGGATTGAAAGAAGGGATCCCCAAAAGAGGGATCCCCTCAGGGTTGGTCACCAGCTCATTGCCATTAGCCAACAAGAGCTTCAGCATGCAATCTGTGAACCTTTTGGGGGTCTCACACACTTCCACCCAGTTTCTCTTGCAATTAATCAAATCTGGTCCTGTTTTGTACAAGAAAAAATTGGAAATTCATTCAAGGTCAAACATGCAAATATTCTTCATCCCTTCTCTGAATACTCAATTATATTTTCTAAAATAAAGAATATATCTCACACAATAATGAAAAACTTTTTTCAGGCCCTGTGTTTTTTGTGCAAATCATTTTTGTTGTATGAGGGTTGAAACATGTCACCCTATAATCATTTTTCTGCAGAATGTTCATTCTGCAAGGTGTTGGTGTTCATACTGCAAGACACCACTCTTTTTGACTTTGTTTACATGTTGCTGTAATATTTAATATTATGTAATTGCACAATAACCTAATAAAACATGTATTTACATACAGTGAGACCCCAATATGTTTACATAATTCATGCATCAAGAGTGTCCCTAATTCAAAATGTCCCTGAGTTGAGTCTTTTTTTCCAATTTATTTCCATTAAATGATTTTAATTGGTGTTTCATGGAATAAATATTCATCAGAGTTCCATGAAAAAAAATGGTCAGCCAATTAAAATTGATTCAGGGAATATTTTACAACTTAATAAGAGCATTTGGAGCATTGAATACTGTAGCTTTGATCATTGAATACGGCACATTGAAATGTTGGCATCTGTGAAAATAACATTCAAGTCACAAAGAGAGAAGGAAGTCCCTCTATGCTGGAATTAATTTTTTCAATTAGCTGAATGGATGGGAAAATGATGAAGAAAATACCAAAGAATTTTTTTGCATAGATCTCTGGGTTTAAAAAAAATATTTGCTTCTTACAATTCAGCCTGCTTGAAGTCGCTTTCCCCAAAACTTCTTGAAATCTTTATCATTAAATCTATGCATGTCAACTATAAGTCAGTGTCTGCACGTTGGGCCTTTTTATGCCTTTTTCATTGGAAAATAAATGTCCTTATGCTGAATTGTCTGCATGTTGGGGTGTCTGTATGTGGGGGTCTCACTGTATTTACATAATTTTTCAATATTATATGTGATATTTACCCCATCACAGCCAGAATTTTATCCTCATGTAACCACTTCCAGCAAAACTCAATTCTGTGAGTAATCTGCTGCTTTTCATCAAAAAATTATTGACACATAACAGCTCTTGTGAATTTTTTAAGCATCCAAGTTGGTTTATACATTATTTCCAAAAGATTTCATAAATAAGATGAATAATTCAAATGATTTTTAAATTAGAATTAATTTTTAGTATTTCAATCATTTCACTTTATTGTCATTTGTTAACATTTGCTTGAAAACTTGAAAATATTTCCAGATGAGAGGGATTGAAGAAAATATTTGGACTCACCATAAGGACCATCCAGCAACTTTCCAGCTCTGGAAACTGCGGCCAAGAGAACCAATGCCAAAATGCACACTTGAAACTTCATGTTTCCATATATGAATTCCAACCAATGAATCTATGCCTGAAAAAAATCCTGAAGGTTCACTGAATATTTCTTCAAAGGATCAATTTTTTTCTACTTTTCAGATAGACTGCAGCTCTGAAACACGGCTAGAAAAACACTGAGGCATGTGACGCTGGAATCAACTTAAACCTGCATCGCAAGGGATTATTCCAGAATGATACGAATCAGAAAAGATCCCAATCGAACAAAGGGAAAGAAACCTGTTTTCAAGGGAACATAAGTCAATCAAGTTATTATTTTTTTTTCTTTTCTGGTCAATCAGGCTTCGTTAGTATATTTCCAGGTCAATGGCTTCTCCCTTCCGTGGCTGACGTTGATGAACCGGGTCCAGTCATTTTAATCAATTTAAATTGTCGCAGTATCCGTAATTATAATTAACGACGTGGAACACGGAAAACGATCCCAACAACCCTCTCGTGTACCAAAAATTTATTTTTAATTTTTATGTCAATTTTTTGAAAACAAACGGATGCTCTTCAAAAGTCTCTCACTATTTTTTCAACCGTTGTCAAAATTTCTTCCATGCATCTCTCAACGTTGTGCAAATTTGTATATGAGGTGAAAAAAGTGCCTTAACATAAATTAAAACAAGTAGCAGTGATTTTTACAATACTGTATTCCAGAAAAAAACATAGAATAAATTAATCACGTATCCCATGAATATTTCTGGATTTTAAGATATTTTCAAAAATCTACCCCAAAAAATTATATGCACACTCCACAAGTGACGTTAACTTTCTGATCGTTTAAAATTTAATCAACTGTTTGCATAAACTTATTTAAAAAAAAAAAGGTTTTTGTTTTAATTATCAGGCAGTCATCAAATGTGTTCATGTCATGGTCATGACAATAGAGCAAGAATTGCGCGTTGAATATTCGTGTGAGAATTTCCATTCTTTCTTGATTCCTGGAATTTAAAACAAAACTGTAATAAAGCTAAGTTGAATATTATGTATTGTTCAGCTTCTCAGAATTGTTGATGGTTGGCGATGGTTTTAATTAAGTGCTGAGGATCAGAGTAATCCAAAGCAGCAGATCAAGGTCTGTAATGACGTTTATTTAGATGTATATTACGTAAATGCAAAAGAAGGAAATTGAATACAATGGATTTGCTTCAAGTGAGTACTGGTCACTAAATTCAACAAAGAGGTAGGGAGAGAAATCAAATTTGTTGGGAAAACTTGAACAATGAACTTTTATTACGAATGTAGTAGGATTTTTTTTCTGATTCCCCCAGAGGACTGAGAAAATCTAATTTTATGCAAAATCAAATAACATCAATTAAATTAGGCTTCTTCTATTTTATTTATCTTCTTGAGCATCTGATCTTGACTCCAGCTTTCCACAAATGAATATTACATTGATTTAAACTTTTTAATATTAAAGAAGGACTGAGAGATAATTGCTGATGGTTCATGTACAAGCAATAAGCTCATAATCCATTATTAGGTAGTCACATATGCTATGACTACAAAGTATAAGTAGCATTTTGGATTGTTCCCTTGTTATTTCTTGTTCTGTTAAGCTTTGCTGTGCTTGGTGCACAACTGCACTTAGCAATCCATTGCTAAAACCCAGATGTGAGAAAAAGATGTCGAACTGACAAAAGAAACTCACAAAGCTGATTGAACAAGGAATAGAAAACTTGATTGGAAAGTGCAATTGAAACAAGAAGATATAAAATGAAGCCTTTTGGATAGGAAGAGTTGATTAGAATATGAAAACTTGATTGATTAGCCAGGCTACGGCTGGGACAGCAGTCCTAGTTTTAAAGAGTTGTATTTTTTGATGATCAACACTTGGTCAAGATTTCAGAGTTTGCGCAAGGAAAGCTTCTCTGCACTGAGATCTGCTCAGGTCAACAATTTGAATGCCAGTGTCAGAATCATCCAAAATTTTGAAATCAGGAAAGGAAGAGTTGAAGGATGCGGATTAGATTTCTATTCAGAAGATGTCCTTGCTGGGCCTGGGAACCAAACTCGGGTTTGGTTCTCAGGCTCCAGCAGAAGCTGTTGAATTTTCTCAAGATTTTTGCAAGGCAGAAGAGTAATTTAACTTAATCTGGCGCCAACTTGTCGGCATGCCAAAGTTTTTTCCAACACCAGAACACCTTTCTCAATCATTCTCATTTTCTTTGTTAGCTGTGCAACAATAGGTATGTCAACACCAATTCAAATTAGTTGCTAGACTTGCCTATGTTAGAGCAAGTTTCCTGTGACTGGACTTATTGCCACAAAACCATGTTTGTGTTGCTGTGCTCTGCAATGTATAATCTATTGCTGTGTTTATACAAAGTACTGTAATAAAGACACCCCCCTAAAATCTCTCATTGGAGTATTTTTGTTCTCTTTGAACGCATGCAGAAAACTAGTTAAATGACAGAGACATAAGTGTCTATTTTGGTTGAAAAATGTATCCTTGATGGAGTAAAATTGTCTGCTGGTTAGCAATTTAAAGATCAAGGATTTGATTTGTTCATGCCAATTTAAGAAAACAATCATTTATCACAAATCATAAAAACGTCCTTAGAACCCTTAAAATTACACATAATTAAAATTACAATCATTGCATGCAATCACTCCTGGTGGATCTTTTGATGTAACACTTGGGTGGCTAATGCAAGAAGAAAGAAATCAAAGATGAATAAGGTTTTATTATTGTACCAGGTCATATCACCAAAGAATGCAAGAGTTCCCAAAATGCCTTCACGCAGTCATTCAAATCAGCCCCATAATACTGTTATAAGCGTTGAATTCAGCCACGGTTTTGCGCAGTACCAGGGAATGCCATCTTTCTGCTTTGATCAGTGGGAAACAGGGTTGAGTTTTAGAGAAACTGCTTAGAGGTCGCTCAAACGTTTCCAGCCTTGATGGAACAGGTTTCCGAGCATAGCTGACATTCTGGAAGCAATCGGTATGGACATGCTTTCCACGATTGGTTTCACTCCATCGGTTTCTGCCACAATATTCATCAGACGAGCTGAAATAAATTGGCGAAATTTCAAACATTCAATTTGCAACAGCACGTGGCATTTCTTTCATTTTGGGAACTTTTTCCTGAATATCGATTTACTTTGAGTTTGACTGATTGTAATCGATTGAGCGAAAACAGGAAAACAAGAACCTGCTCGATAAATTTTCGTCTGAGCCACTCAATTTTATTCTTTGAGCATTTTTGAGTTCGTATTGACTTTTTTCGTTTTTATAGCTCCGAAATGTTCATTTAGTTGATTTTGGCGGTGTCGAATGGAATTTTTCACATTTTTGACAATACAGGAATATTTTTTGAATGGGGAAAATCACTGTTGATTATTTGTAAAACAATATTCCCTGCCCTCATATTTTTTATACATTGTCTTAAATTCATATCAATCATCCGTGAAATTTTCATTGGAATATATGTTCAATTTTCGTAGCATTCCCAGGAAGAATTTTCGAGGATGTTATCGATACAGACTTGATAACATTTGGATCATTTTCAAGAATTTATTACTGTGCAGAATATTTAATTTCTACGTTTGATTACCTGGACAAATAAATCTCTAAAATATTCCGAATATTTGAGATTAAATTTTTTTCAAGTATTTGCGCCTTGCGATTTTTTTCTCAACATTTTGGACATTCAGCTGTATATGATTTAATTACCGAGTTGATCATCACGGTCGTAAGGCTCGAACAACATTTTAAACTTCCCAAAACGAATTTGAGCAGAAGCCTTTTCAATGACCAAGCCGCCTTTTTTCTTCTCCCTCATGACAGCAAAACAAGTGCAGACGACGTCATCTGTAAAGCCCCTATGAAACTGTGTTGAATCAGCATAATTTAAATGAATAGCAGTGTAGATGACGCACCAAGTCGAGTCCGAGTTTTCCCTCTGGAGCGAGCGCCATCTATCTGCTGAGCGCCCTCTGGAGGTGAGAACCCGAGGTAATCACTGAGGTCTAGTTTCAGATCATAGGTGGTTTCCACAATGGAGGATGGGAGGTTCACTGTCAAGATGGCTGTTTTTGTTGGCACATCATAGCTGTAATCAATGTATATTCTTGTGATTACACATTTTGATATGCATTGTCAGTGTCACAGTGAAATATGTGATGGAGTGGGGTTTTTGCCCATATATTGGAAGGACTTGTTGAATAACTAACTTGATTTCTGCACAGTTTTGTTTACACTGATTGGGGAGTTCCATTGTGTCTATGAAAATGCAGTCCATGTGACAAGAATTATTTTTAAAACACTTATCATGACAAATGTTATTACAAGAAATACTTTTGTGCAATGTCCTTTGAGACAGTAAACCATAATGTAGTTTGTTGTCTGAATATTTGCCTGTTTTTATTTCAAAGATGCGTGCAAAAAAAAATTTATAGGATGGCATTTTTGAAAATCTGGAATTAGGTTAATAGTTTTTTATTTAACCCTTGGATGGCAGAGATAATTGCCTCAGGACTGTCCTGAGGCAAAGTTGGGATTTTTTCAGGGGGAGGGGCATTTCAGTTTGACCAAAGGTCACTGAAATGCCCCCAGGTTCCCAAGGGCTAAGTTTGGAAAAATGTGGGTGATGAAAATCCCATGGTCTCAAGAAATACCCGAGGTTAATCCTATGTTGGGAATGCCTGAAAAATGCCACACTGGGAAGAATTTTTTATTTTTGAGCGAAATTTTTCTGCTGGGTTATAAAAAAATTATCAGACTTCATCCTGACTTAGGCCTTGGTTCAGTAATTGTTTTTATTTTATTTGCAGACTTCTTAGAGGGAAATTTTTGAAAAATATCCTAACTTTGTTGCACAAGGTTACAACCATATTTTGAACTTTAGAACAAGTATAATCCTCAAATAAGTGGCACCATTCAACTGTGGTCTTTGTTGTCCTATAATCCTAAACAATCAAGTGGCACCTTTTTTTTGCAAGGAAGTGTGCATTGATATACAAAGTGATGTTGATCCTTTGGCAGCAGTGATGAGATTTGTTTTTGAAATTTTGTGGCACAAGGCATACAAAAAAAATAAAAAAGCAGGGATGATCAGGGGGGCCTAATCCAGAAAAATTCATATTTCTTATCTATTTTGGCAGACAAATTTTCCTAAACCTTGCTGGCTGCTGGGCAGCATTTTTTCACCTTCCCTTCATGGGATTAGCATTGAGGAATTTCAGACAAGATGGATTACCTTCCCTTGTTTTTTCTGGAGTTTTGCTACTCAGCCAAATCTTTGCTTTGATGACCTTTGGTCAAACCAAAATGCACAAATGTACAAAACATTTCTTTGCACTGATGCAGGATGGAATTTGACCTGCCACCATCCAAGGGTTATATCAAGAATTTGTAACATTGTGCAAAAATTAATGAGAAGAGCATCAAATTGATGTTTGATTGTGATTAACAGAGGCATTACTTACATGATTGAGGATTGATCCCTGTTGAATGCACTGGTCACATTGTAGATTACAACATTCTTGACAGAGCCCTTGAGTGGTATGTTTCTTGGCAACTCAAAGTTGTCCAGTTTGATGGGATTGAAGGATGGTATCCCTAGGAGAGTGATGCCTTCAGGAGAAGAAGCCTGGGGTGCAACAGCCAAAAGCAACTTCTCCAGGCAGCTGGAAAACATGTTGGGGTCTTGGCTCACTCTGATCCAGTCAGCCTTGCAAGCCAGTAAATCTTTTCCTGAAAATTCAGAAAGTTTTGCATTATTTGAAT